TTTCCTAGCTCGAGATATTTCGTTGGGACCAATTCACTTACGGAATTAAAAATCTATATATTAATTTGAAACTGCTTTTCTTTGTGACAGCTAATTTGAGAGAACTGCTGGGCGTAGAAACCATTGTGTACTCGATGGTAGAAACTCGGTAGAGGTGTCTAAAGAAAGGGTTTGGCCTGTAGATGAGCCATCAAAAGAGAAACGTGGTAAATTCTCTTGGGGCTCTGCCCCAGTGGCCTTTAAATTCCCATCCCATGTTATTCTTATGGAGGAAAAACGGGTTTTTGCCACAGCTAATTTCAGAGAACGGCTGGATGTAGAAACTTGGTAGGGGTCTCTAAAGAAAGGTCTTGGTCTGTAGATAAGCCATCAAAAGAGAAACGAGATAAATTCCCTTGGGGCTCTGCCCCAGAGGCCTTCAAAGTCCCCTCAACAGATATGTTTACATTATGACCATATGTATAATTTTACACTATTTTTAATGAACCAGCTGTTAATTTTAAAATTGTATTTCAAAGGTTAAGTGTTATGAGCATTTACTGAAACTGTCAAAATTAAATGTTTACATTATTATTTATGCTTTTAAAATTGATTCTTCACTGCATGGCATGCTTTTTATAGTTTGAACAAAATTACGAATTTATTATATGTTTAAAATTTTTGTTCAGAAATCTATGCTTTAATGCACTTAAAAAATTGTATATTATAAAATCAGTTGGACTTATCAATTTCAAAGGAACAGATTACAACCCCTTATTGGGTTAGCTTATATTTATTGTAGAGGTTTAAACTTGCCTTTTTTGGTCTACTTTCAATACTTATTTGTAGATGTATGTAATCATTTGTACATTGAGGATGTGAGCTGTGTTCCAAGTTTTGGAATAGACTAGGCACGGAGTAGGTTTAATCCGTGGTTTGGTGCAGTAGGTGAATTAATGGCAGTTCAGGTATTAAAAAAGGGGAAAACGTTTTTACTTTGATGTACAGATCTAGCTAGGTCTAACAATGCATCTAAACCTCACTATATAAAAACATTCGGAAATACAACAGTGCCATCACATCTCATCTCATTTGCATAATTTATTGCCAACCAAGGCGGACTAGGTTATGGATTTTGTTCAGCAAATGTTCAAGGTTTGTGTCCAAATTCACTAAAATTGTGGTCCATCCCATCCACAAAATACATGCACAACTTTATGTGATTAATACGGCGTTAGCAAAACTACGCCAGAAGTTAATCAATTAGCAAATAAGTACATGATGATTAAATACATTGGTCGATACGATGTGGCAAGATAAGGAATCAAAATTGCTTGGATCGAAGTAAATGTTTCTGCCTTCTGGAGAATCAGATAGTTTATCAAATACAAAAAAAAACTGATTTAATATGCTGAAAAAAATGTTGTATTTTGATGACCAAAGAAGTGTGATTCACTTACGTAATTCAATTACGGTCTCAATGATTTTTCTACAGCAGATGTAACGAGTTATTAGTAATATAGACTCTTTCCGTAAGATGACAGACCAATTATATGAGCTCCTTTTCCCATATAGTGAAAGTGGCTTTAACATGAACAAAACGTATGAACAAGAAACAATTATAAGACTCCTAAAAAACCTTTTGGGCAACCTAAAGCCAACCACGTTTTTGAAGGTAGTTACACAATTTCATATTCATTATTATGCTTATCCTCCCTTAATTTAACGAAGATTTTCACTCTATCATCGCAGTTAGTTTAAGTTACATAAAACCTCAAAAGTAACCGTCGATTTCGACGGGTTTCCCCTAGTATGGTTTTAATAGTTATGATTGTTGGAAATTTATTTGAACAAAAACTATATGATGTTCACTGTATTTTTAAGCTATAGCCATAACGAATATCAATTTCATATTGTAGTAACATGACGACTTATAATCCATAACAGGAGTTTCTTCACTAAAAACTACATTTCTGGAGGACAATTATATTTTTGGCGAAATTTGCTTCTATAAAATTGACTATAACTTTATTATATGATTTCTAAATCAAAAATAGTTGTAATTTTTTCACTTTTTATAATTAAAATATGCATAAAATGATTTTGGAAAAGATATACATACCTTGAAAAGATATACAAAGTGCCTTGGTATTTGATACTTTTGGTTTAGCATACGTTCGATTATTTTCTAAGGCAATAATTTAATACTATTTCCATTATAAGTCTTTGTACATACCTATAAGATGTATTGTACAAAGTGGAGCATTTTCGAAGGGGAAAAGGTTATATAACGCCTTAGGTTAATAAATTCTCTTCGTCTGCTCGGCATGTAGTGCACGCTTCCTTTCGAGTCTGAAGGTAGCAGATCTTGTAAAGGAAATCACTAGTAGAATAGATTCAATCTTTATCAGATTCTTGTAGGATGTGAGACTTGTCACCTAATCAAGTGAACACAATTTTAAGAAATATCAAGGTGTTAATTACTTCTTTCCCCCTTTAGTAAAATATTTAATACCATCCTGAATCTATAATGTTGTAGAGATTCGATATGATCAATTAACTATTAATCCTATCAACGGAGTGGTATCAAATGTACATGGAGCATTACACTTAGAATGCCAAAAAGATTTTTTTGATTATAATTTCAAGAATAGGTTTTATTGAAATACTTAAAAAACTGTTTTAATATTTTGTTGACGCAATCAATCAACTTCATTACATATGTTCCGTAATTAAAGTAAATGTCAGAAAATATATTTATGATAATAATTTTGTACAACTTAATCAGGTATTTAAATCTACTGTTATCACACTATTTCGATGGGAACTCGAAGGTTTATCATTCATTGAAAAGGCTGCAGACGAAAAGTTAGTCCAAGTTGGTAAAGCTGAATAGCTTTCACGTTGTAAGTTAATGTCCCGACTAAGATTTAACGCAATGTATTATTTACAGTTTAATCTTTTTTAAATTGAAAACTCACTTCTGCACTATAAAACTTTTTAAATCATAAATATTATTTAAAAATTAAATTAACCTGTCAAATCCCAAGCATATTTACACAGCATTGACAATAAATTATTTCCAAGCCTCCACTTATATTTACATTAGCCTTTTAATATAAACGTGTAAACTCGCTTCTATTATTGGTACTAAGTTGTATTTGAGACAAGTTTTAGCGAATTTCCCATATAGGGAATAAGCTATTACCGTAGTACTCATGGTAAGACCTGGACCCGAGACCGATTTAATTTTTCATTTTGAGGTCCCTAGAGGCCAAAAACACCATCCGTTCAAATTCATATATATATATATATTTATATATATATTTATATATATATATGTGTCCGTTAGCGCGATAACTCGAGCAAAAATGATCCGATTTTGATGAAATTTGGTACAAACGTGTAAACCTACGTTTATTCGAACGAGTTCGCGATCCAGCATAATCAGACCATGGGAACGGGGGTTTATGGGGGGTTTTATGGGGTAAAAATGGGTTTTTCCCATTTTTGAACCTAAAAACAAAAGATTTTGCGATTTCTTTCTAAACCGTTTTGTAGAGCTTAAAAAAAGAAATAATTTAGTATATTGAAGCGCTGTTGTATGCCTAACGGTCACGGAGAAAATTCAAAAATAGTGTAATTAAAAATTCCCATGTTATTCTTATGGAGAAAATGAAAATTGTTGTAGTTTACTTGTTTATGGGTATATATTGATAAAATTTGGCAAATTTATTTATTTCATCCTATACTATTGACGTATGGTCAAAAAACACTTTTTACCTTCCCAGTAGCAGCAAACCTAAGCACTCTTTAATCTAATGTTATTTAAATAGGGAATAATATGTCTTATGTATGGAAATATTTTAGTAAAAATGTAATCAGACGAGTTGAAATTCGCTTAGTCTGCAGGTTTGCTGCGGCGGGGGTATTATTTCTATGTCCCATGATTCAGAAATGTTGCCAACCATATTACAACGTGGGTAATGGGCCAGAAATGGCACACAACTGTGTATAATGGGGGTGCAAATTCACAACTGCCTCCAACCACAAACAAGATTTAATGCCTTAGTCGCTAGATGAATTGTAATCTGAAATTCGGATCAACGTTCAACTGTAATATAAGTTGAATAACACAATGGCCAACATCACATTTTAGTAAAGTATATTTCAAATTATTTATTTACAAATAAGAAGAAAATTATTATCATTTTATCATGGGTTCGGATTTAAAATCAAACTTTTTAAGTGTTGTGCAGCATCATGGTCAAGGAATCATAAAAGCGAAAGAGTTCAAGCAGAGAGAAAAAATGTATTTTCCTACATCCATTGACTAATAATATGCTGTAATAATAGTGAATGTCAAAACTAAAACATTTGAATACTGCCACAAAATAAAGGTCACTAATCTTTTGCTTAGCACCTATTGGATGTTTGAAACTATCTTTGTTTTGACATGTAAGATCACCCAGCAAACACTAGTCATATTACATAAAGCTGAATTCCACAAAGTTTTACAAATAATTTAGAGTGTGGAAACTCAAAAAGAAAGCTAATCATATTAAATAATAAGATGGTTTTTATAATTTCTATACAATTTAACAAATGCTTGTGTTAGTCATAGTGATAAATTAATCAAATAATTACTCTTCTTAAAACAATAATGGAAGTATATTTGTTAAATAAATATTTTCCTCTCTTAATAATCCGTTTAAAAACAATCCGAAAATACGTTTGCCAAAATAACTCAAAGCAAAAGTCCTTTCACATTCGGCAACATAATAATACTTCTATGACTGCAGTTAACACCAGAATATAATGAATAGTTTGTACCATATAATATTACCTTCAATAATATGACCCATAGTACCAGGTGTTCAACGATTATGATCGCATATTTAAAGCAAACAAACAGCTAAAACTTAAGCATGTGTTTAAAAAACGTTTTATAATTGCCACTTATAAGTGACCTGATTTGTTAAAGCTTTTTATTGATTGTTTTAACAAATAGTAACCTCATTTTTCTATCGTAGGTAGATTAGAAAAATAACCCAGTCGAAATACTTTTACCACTGTCAAAATCATATTGGTTTTTGATTGACACCTTCTTGAACGTCTTGAATTATTCACTCCTACTTTGTCCGATTCAAAAGTAATAACAAATTACTATCACTCAGGATGTTGCCACATTACTTTATAGTCTTCACAACATCTATTACTTTCTTCACAACATCCTCCACAGTCCTCGGTCCGTCGTAAGAGATGGGTGAGTTTTTGTCCTTGTGGAAGATTAATAAGCTTGGGTATCCCTTCAACCCGTATTTTTGCATTAGTGGCATATTTTGGTCGCCGTTCACTCTGCCGATACTAGCTACCCCCTAAAACAAATGTCTTTAGTAACTTAAGTAATATGTTCAATTTTGAATCATTAATACTTTATAAATAAAATGAAAAGGTATTTTTTCATTGTATATGATTTGTTCTTCTAAATTTGTATATCATGCTTTCCATAATGAATATAGTAAAACATTCTACTATATTAATACCACTAGACCTTCCATCCCTATGTCAATTTTTTTGCCTGATTTTGATCAAAATCGTCGGAGTTGATGTGAGCCACCGACAGATTGCGCTGATCTGAGTTAATAAATTCTGTCAAATACATGAATTCTTTACTAGGTCAAACTAATGGAATTACTGTCATAACCCATCAACCTGGTCAGCTACAATAGATAAGGTATAAAATAGAGTTTTATACACTAGCGCATTCTGTGACTGGCTCACACAACTTCGTTCTTTTTTTTAATAAAAATTGGAGACAGCTGGCCCATATAGATGGAAGTCTACTTCAGTATCTAATAGTCAATGGTAGGACCATATAATAGACGAATAGAATATTTATTCTATTTGTATATGGTATAACTAACATAATGATATAGTATGAGCAACTAAAGAAGATGCAGATGGTGAGGAGGTGGAGGGGATTTCTTGTTCTATCTTCAAACATACAGCACACTGGGAGGAATCGAGTAAGTTAGTTGGTTTATATTCCTACCTCAAATTAAAAAACACACATATTTAATATTTTTACCTGAGATTATTGTTTAAACTAGCCGTTTCAGTGCAGTTATTATAATTTAAATGATTCACTTAACAGCATTGTTTTTTTTTTAACAACACGAGTAACGGACTAATGAGGTTCAAGGATTGAGAGAGAAGAAGTAAAATTGTAAAGATTCCAACTTCAACTAATCAGCTCTTAAGGCGAATTGAATTTATAATTAGTGGTGGAATTAGTGGTTGGTACAATAAGTCGTTGCTTCACTGTCAGTGGCAATGGGAGGTTATAAACGAAAACATAACTTCTCTTATAAGTTATGAGCAGAAAAACAAACTAACGAGAAAAAGCAAACTATAAAGTCTCAATACCTCTAACTTACCGTAATCATTTGGGCAATCTTTTCGTAATCACTGGTAAAGTTTGTGCAATAAGGGCACCAAGGTGCGTAGAACTTCACCAGCCATAATTTGGGACTTGATGTGACAAAGTAGTCAAAGTTATCCTTAGTGAGGTCAATAATTTCATTCGACATGATCTGTCACACAGTTTATTCTTCTATAATGCCGTTTTAGTTGATAATTTGTTGATATATTCTCTCCAAGTGTAGGATCATATCATTTGGTCATGTTCGATTTGGAAGCACTTCTTGAGCGGATTTTTTACCCTTACATAAAAAAATGTGAATGTTAGAACATGACGTTTGATTAATATTACATAGATAATACCTACTCATTCATTATTGATAAGCTTTAAGTATATAGTTGGTGATTTGGTGGCTCAGTTGGTAGCACCATGCTATGGATTCGGATCCTGGTACCTGCCACTACTTTATACAGTATACAGTTCACCCTTGTACTGTACCGGACCACTCTGTCCGATACTGGACCTAGCTGATCATTGGGCTTTTAATAAATTGGACTGACTAATGAAACAGCTTTTAATAGGCAGTAACAAAGCTACACAGATCATCTTACTTTATTTTTAATTGATTATTCACTTATATTTGGGTTAAAATACGCACCTAGGTAGCGTCCCTATCTCAGTAATTGATCATTATTAAAACCCCTCGCTTTGTTGGATACGTTCCATTCACAGGCCTTTTTGGCCCATTCAGAAGGGCAGATTTGTGGTTAAAGAGACCACCAACCTCTTTACAAAAGCAAATAGTTTTCTTTTAAAACCTTAACTACCTTGCATTATGGATCTGTTAGTCCGTGGGATGTTCTAAGCATTCTGAAGTACTGTTATAGAATAAGCACATAGAAAATACAGTAGTGGTAGTACATGCAGCTGGATTTGGACCAGCAACATCTGTCTTGTCATCCCAAGACACTCCCACTTATCCCACTGAGCTATAGTGTTTGACGTACAGATATGTGTTTACTGAAACAGTTTTAGTTAAGCAATACAACTGGATGTATTTTCGCAAGTTAGTCTAATTTATACACTGGTCTACGCATAGACTAGATTAAAAAAATGACAGAAACGAACCATACGTTAATGTTATTAGAATAGGATTCGGGTCATTGTTTATGTTTATTATCTATACCGTGTGGTAAGAACATACGATTGAGGAATCCTGTACTGACGTATCGGAACGTTCTCCCGATAAGCATGTTTCCCGCATGTGAACTGGGGATTCTGCCTTAATGCAATAAAAAAGCTAAATAGGTGTAGGTGTATGAAACATGTTATGTCGATTTGTTAGTATGTGTTCAATCATCTAATTAAATCACCATTATTACTGGTGGCTTTAACTTATCTTTAACCAATAATCGTCATGCTTTTCCAGTGATTGTTTGAAAATAGTTAATCTTCAATACGTAAATAAATTTATAAACTAAAACGTAAGGAGTTGAACTATTAATTTGCAAAGTGCTAATCCAAAATAATATATCTTTTCTAGGATTAATTAAAGTTGTAGAAAAACTACAGTTTGTTTTGTGCTTAGGGTTGTGTATCCAAACTAAGTATTTTTATTTTGTTCACTAATTGATGTTGTCAAATATTGTGTATGTTGGAGGAGCGAGCTGGTCTAGTGGTTACATCGTGGCACTTCGGTGCCTGATGTCACGGGTTGAAATCCCGCCAAATCACCAATGGATCTGATTTAAATAATAATGCCCCAAACCCTAGGTCCAGCCAAAAGTAATGCGAAAGACAATCCCGCCCTCCTGCCTAGCATCCTAGGAAAAGAATTATTTATGTTACGAACAGCATTTATATATAGGTGGTATGTAAATTCAACCAATACAATATAGCCAATATAACTATTTTATCCCACAAACCTTTTGTTCTGGTAATTTTAGCTGATTAATTTCGGTACTAGCTTCAATGTACTCACTTTAGTAATTCATCACACATAAAACTGTATGCTCACCTACCCCATTAAATACATTCAAATTTACAAGTATTACTCACTGAAAATATAACATCATATTAAAAGTCCAACTCGCTTGAAACTTTCATAGCTATCTCAGATCTTTGTTTTCCCGTTTATCAAGTCATAACTCAGATTACACCAGCCTTACGTCTGATAACATTTGCATATTTTAAACCAACACAGACATTACATATTGCTTTAAAACATACAACATGTTGAACGTGTTTTATAAATTGTGCATTCAATTTAACGCAGGTATTTAATCTGACAAGCTTTTAATTGTACAGCTATCTACGACACATGAGTCACAAATAAAAAATGTATTATTTTACAAGAGAAGATTCAGTTGTGTGTGTGTTTCTATGTAATTAACGTTTCATGTTTACAATATAAACATACTTAAACATGTAGTGGACGTACCTTATTTTTTTCCCCTATCTAACGTTGAACTTTTGCTTAAGCATTTTTAATTAGCCTAATTATAAATTATATCTAGGTCCAGAATTTACCTCGTTTGGAATCGAACCAGAGACCTTCAAGTATGAAGGCAAGCACCGTAGACTGCCCAGAACATTATGAAATTAGTTTTACTATATTTTAACGTAACCACTATCTCCAAACACTTTCTATACCATCTGTAGATTTTTACCTAGTCCTATTAATGTAAAGAATGAAGTTAAATACTGTATATAGCAAAGCTATAATTGTATCTATAATTGCTGTAATGTGGATTTTACAATCGAATCCATTGTCAGAAATGGTTATGAAGATAGTAGTAATTGGATAATAATAGCCTCGTCATATTTGGCATGAAGCCAGGGAGATTATCACCATGCTATTATAACCTTATCCATTACAAGGCTTTCAGTCCGCATCAGCTCCCGTTATAATTGCAACTACATTCCTCTGCTCCCTATTGAAGGCTTAATAAAATATGGTAATTAAATTTGCATAATTTGAAACAGTAATTACTAAATTACATTATATTGAACTAGTTATGGATGCATACTAGTTACTAAGCCACATGCAACCACCTCCCATTTAGCTATTTATTTTAAGTTACTTAAATTATTTTTTTACCATTTGTATTTATATTTAAATTTTTGTATGGGTTTGAAAGAAATACAATAAACACTCCTCTCATAAAGAATAAAAGAGATGTAACCGTTTGTGTTTAAAAATATCTTATTGAAAACAATTTTACTCCAGTGTAACTTAACGTTACTATATGGTATTCCGTATTATTATTACGAATTTATAATAAACCGTGTTTCTAGAATATTAGTTTTATTTAACTTAGGCAATTAAAATTAAAAGAACAACAATGTGTACATATTGAAATTTTTTTTTAGTTGTAAAACTGCACATAGTCCAGAAACCTTACTAACGAATTTGGCTAATAATTTATTCGTTTTGTCACAATACGAAAATACATACAATATACAAAAATACAAAAAATATACAAATATACAATATACGAAAATACAACTAGAGCTGATGGCTACAGTAAGAAGCATACTTTAATGGCAGAAAAACCTTTATCAGCATGAGCATTGGCTTATTTTGCAGCCTACATAATTCTCATTAATATCTTCTACATTGTGCTTTGGTTGGAAATTATAAAGATTCCAAAACGTGTTCCTAAACTTAATGCAGTGTTATTTTAATTCTTTTTATCAATAGGTTCTGTTTTTTGCTGAAAAACTCTGTCTCAACAATATATAGACAACACAATTGTAATTAATTTAAGCACTAAGCACTTGAATCCTAGTTTATTAATTTTCACAAATTCAGATTATATAAATTATCGAATGTAGTAAAGGTGATATCTGAAGATCAAATGACGTGTATAGTAAACAGAAGATATATATTAACACTAATCCGTTACCTCAATCGTATGTAAACATCCCGTCTCCTGTGTAGTTTCCCCGGATACGTACGAACCTTCTAGCAAATAGACAATCTGATATTACTGTTGGCAATGCCAAATATTATATTGGTCGAGGCTGAAATATTGGGGTGTTTGAGATCAAACTCAAATCGGTGGTTGGGATTATTATCAAATATTCAAATATGCATTATGTTTTTGACATACGATGTGTATTTTTTATAGGCAATAAGGTAAAACCACATTAAACTGTTCACAGGACAATAAATAAATAAATGTACATTCAAATGCAAAATATTGTAGAGACACTGAAGAATTGTCAACTCTTTGGTATAATTTTTGGTAAAATTGGTATAACAACATTTTGAATGCGAGTTTTGATAAATATTATATTGGTCAAACAAGTATCCACATTAAATGTGTATTCAAAGACCATACATATTTTTAAGTGTAAAACACCAAAGAGTGTAAAATTAAACTACAAAGAATCTCTAAAGAGGAAAAAACCCGTACACTGAACAAAACATTTCAGTTATTGAACCTAAACTGGACAAATACAGTGTTATAAAATAGCTCCGGTTTATCCGTATACAACATCAACATGCAAATTTTGAAAAATTAAAAAATATAGAAAATTAAAAGAAAATTAGAAAATTTACAATTTTATACAAACGGGAAAAGAAATATTATTATAGTTCAATTAGTTTATTATATAGCGTATATTATGCCTTATCCGTGACCATGGCCCGAGACATGTTAGTTTATTTTATCAAATTAGAGAGTCAAAAATGTTTAATTATTTAACATATTTATAATTTAATTTTAAAATATGAATTATACAAAATATTAAAATACGTTATATGTTTCCAAGTTAAACTGATGATTTCATCAAATATTTTCGGTTAGCCTAATTTAAAACAAATGTTTTTTATATTTAATTTCGTTAATTAAAAGTCAATAAAAGGGTTTCCTCCTAAATACAACCCATCTTGAGTTTTTGCCATTTAACTGTGTCAGAAAAAGAGAAGATTCTTCTCAAAGGTGCTTATTTCCCAACTCTTTCACAAGTAGTTTTGGCGCTGTTCCATGGTAAGCCCCTGAGCCCGTTTATCTCGGGTCTTTTGAGGTAGTTTACAAAGGATTTGTTAGAAGACCGTGATATGTAATGAATATAGTATGAGTGCCGTTTCTCTCCAGTGAGAAGCTATGTAAAGTTTTAGTCTTATTTGTCTTCTTGGTAAATAAAATAGAAATTAAAAATAGAGGCTGATAATATTAAAAGCATACTTATCATAAAAAAGATTTACAATAAATATGTTCTTTGATATTTAATCTTGTGTTCATCCTCATCAACGTTTTGTGGCAAAAAACGTTTTATTATTAGAACGTATCGGTGCTATAAATAAAAACTTTCTTGACGCAAAAGTTTTTTTCCGGACTTACAAGAAGTATGATAAGGTTTAGTAGTAAATTATGTAATTTTAATTAGGTTGGCACTTGGTAAAAATGTGTATATTTGGAAACAAATTGAGGCAGGTAAGTAAAAATGAAAATAATTAATTTTGTCCACCTAATAAGTTAAAGTTGCATGCTGCTTGAAAACTTTAAATGTTATATTTAATAATATATTTTGTAGTCAAAACAGTCCATAGATTATCTGAGAGTTATTTTATTATTGCTCTCATTTTAAAAGGAATAAGTTTTTTTGAGTATTTTACCTATGGATTACAAGCCACTTATTTTCCTTTTTACGAAGAACTTTCTGGAGGATTTTGGGTTACGTTGATGGTTTTTAACTAGTTATTTATTTTACCAATGGGATGAGTTTTAATCAAAAACTTACACATTTGTTTATTTTTACGAATACAGTCACCTGTAACCTTTCTTAGGAAAGGTATTAAATTCGGTGATAATATGATTTCAGACTTAAATCAACAGAAATAATATATTTTGAGAGAATAATGTTGTTTAAATATTTGGAAGTTTAAAATCCAAATATATTGTTTGAAAATGTAAATTCTAATTTTACAGTATTTAATGTAAGATAATTGGATATATTTTTTCTGCTACTTGTCTTTGAAAAGTAAACATTCATTCAGTATCATTCATTTGATAGGTTGTATAAAATATCTAGAGATACTCTGTAGATGGCAGTTACATTGCAGGTGCTACAGCCCGGTTGAATTATTTATTCCGTCACATTTTGTTAAACTTCCGACGTATCTCTTTTAGCAGTCTCTCGGGAGAGCCAATGCCGTCAAAATGTCACAGAATATAAATATTTTAACACGAAAAATAGAGGGACCAACATCATAATTTGTAAATGTTCAGTATTTTGCCACAAAAATTACTTACAGCTTAGATATTTTGGTAAATTTAGAAAAAAGTTCTTTGTTTACACTCGTCTTATATTTAATACATTTTTTTGGTCTAAACCTTTTACAGGAACTGCTGAGGTTCCAATACAGGTTTAATAAATACATCCTATAAATAAATTTCGCAGCTAACACTCTAAAGTTCATTCCATACGCCTGATTTTATCACCGCTAAAATATTTTTTTTTTTATGTCAGCATCAGTCTATATTTAAATAAATTTAGACGTTCGAGGAGTTAGATTTGCTGCTAGGGGCTCGATAATAATGCAATGTTTAACAAGCAAGCGAAAACAGATTATTCATTCTCCATAAATAGGATGTGAGACATTTTAATTTACAGGTTTTTCTTTGTGGTACCCGTAACCATTAAGCGCATAACAAGACTTCAATATAATAAGTTAAAATAAAAAAAATAATTGATGTATTTTGTATTTATTTTTAAATAATTTAATATATCTTTTTACATATATGATTATATATTTATTCCCATCAGACAAAAACCACCTAACTAAATTGACCGATAATCCACTTTGATGATGAGTCGATAACACGACGTATTTAAATCCATGAAAGCAATGTCGTAGGTTCAAATCTTGATTTCTGCCACTAAATGTAATCAGTACAGTTTATCCTTGTACTGTACTGGCTCGCCCCTTGCTTTATCAATAATATTGTAATAGTACATAATCAAGTATACGACAAGGTGTTTAGTTTTTTTATAGTTTTTTTACCCTTTCACATCTCTTATCGGTCGTGAACCAACATCGGCCGTTTTGCATCCGAATCACACTACGGCTTCAAAAAATAAAATATTAAAATGTTATTTAATGTAATTTGTAATTTGTTATGTTATGGAAATTTTATTTTTATTTTTTACTAGCAGAGTACCCGTCCTTCGTACGGGGTTGGCATATAAGTATCAAATGCTTATAGCAGTTATGAGTGAGGACATTGTTTAAGAAATTTCGGTTCTTTTTTAAGTTTGTTCGCTACGCTCACTCACCTTTAGGTTGGAGCTCGTTCGCTGCGCTCACTTTCCTTCAGGTTAGCTCGTTCGCTACGCTCACTTGCCTTCAGGTTAGCTCGTTCGCTACGCTCACTCGCCTCCAGGTTGAAGTTCGTTCGCTACGCTCACTCACCTTTTGGTTGCAAATTAGCTGTTGTCATAAATGTAAAAGAAATAATAGTGCTAGTGCTGCACCCTGTTGGTAATCCTTGTAACTTTAATGCTATTGAACATCACAGAACAGAACCAACTTGTTTAATTGAAACAGCTGTTAAGATTCAATAATTTCATTTCTCATAAGGTTAACATGGGAAACTCCAGAGCCACTGGGGCGGAGCCCGAAAGGATTTTTGGG